CTCAATATGCTAGTGAATCCTGAAGCAGGTAACTTCGGAAAACGGTATGTACTCACTCCGGAAACGAAGACCATTATCTCCAACGTGAAGCAGTTCTTCGTAACGCTCAAGGAACATCTCGGACCCGACGTGCGCGGAACCATTTTCAGTTCAGTTACAGCCATAACTGCTACGGCTTGTGCTGTAAGCGACACCACTGTTGCAAGGGCTAGCAGTTCGCGGCCTCGCCAAACGAAAACTCAGCGGTCTTCAGAAGAGCATTTTGGTGTCGTTTCTGGTTTTTTTGTCTTTTTAGCTAGTTATTTCCCTCGTATTTTCAATTACTCTGTATATAACAAACTTTGCTGTAGTATTTTTCATATGGAATTGAACCTTCCAGATGGTTTCCATAGACGAATTCCGAATTATTTAGAGGTTATGTGTGGCTTGTGGGACTTAAGTCGTGAGCGATCGTGCAATGTGGAAGAGCTGTGCTCCACACTAGGAATTCCACCACCTGAAGAGCCGTAACGTATCAAAGTAAGTATGGGCTGCGTTGCGTCGTGTTGAACTATCTTTGTCGGCTCTTCATGTGTTCATGTTCCACAGCCACCGCATATACTGAAGAGACTATGCAAACTTGCAGGGTAGCGTCAAACTTCGCATACAGCGCTTCGTCGCGCGTCACCGCGAAGTCTGAACGCTTTCTAATATGCAGTTTGTCGAGTTTTAGCCATTGTATGCAAAAATGTTCCAGGAAATTCTAAGTAGCTCCCGGTTGCTGGCAGTTGCACTTTCACCATTACGATGGAAGCGGAACCAGCCAGATTGAACGACATGTATAGTGCGTTGGTGTAGAAAACATTCTTATTATGAACGGACATGTATAGTGCGTTGGTGCAGAAAACATTCTTTTTATTTTTGTATGTTGTTTTCCTCCCTGTGGCTCACGAACTTATACGACAGGAGTTGGGAGAGACGTCAAACTCCTTCATGTTTCTCTTCATAGTGAGGTATTCATACAATTTCTTGGAAATGTGCCTGTGCAATGTACAAAATGTGGCAACAGTAATTGTCTCATTTTCTTTTTCGTGATTTTTTAATGTTTTATTTACTCAATACTTTGCTGTTCCTAATATACATATATACCCGGGGTGTATGGCGCTCCCGAAATTTCGTCACAATGCGCCTAAAAAGTTTATAATCACGAATCCCAGCGACAGTTGTCTACACTTTTCTGCATATTATTGGCCTCTAATTGTCTATAAAACACTTCTATTCAGAGCAGATCACTTAGATAGATGAGATCAAGTAAAAATATCAAACAGTATAAAATGGAAAGAAAGTTCGCAGCGTTCGAAGCATAGGTGCGCTCTATTCACGGATGACCAGCCACAGCCCAGGAAAGTCGGTAATTTCCTTCTTCTGTGGCGGGCATCCCATTCACTGCCAGAGGCAGGGTCGCTACTATATGGGCGCGACTTCTTCCGGTCGCATACCTGGAGAATGCCAACTATTCTCATACACGCATGCACCATGTTCAGTCGCTTACGTGACTCCCTGAACTTTTGTGCATGGTCCTGTTGCGGAACCAAGAAAAGTGGGCAGATAGTGTGTAGCAGCTTCTAAGATGTCGAAATGTGCAAGAGAAATGTGGCGAGTTGGGATATAGGCCTTTTCAAGAGGAAGGAAGTTCGGGCTGGGGGAGCCACTTATTATTCGTCAGAAGCTGAATGTGTGGGTAAGTTACGCAACCATAGAATCCTATATCAAAGCGGAGAAAAACAGAAGATCGATGCATCTGGAATACTGCAGTTTAAATTATCGCTGGACCTACTGAGCGACGTTTCTTTGGGGAACATCGTGCTGGTGGCCGCTCTTACAGACTGTGTCAGTTCTTGCACGAAGTACATGGGTGTATCATCTGAGATGCCCTTCATATATTTCATAAGCTGTAAGCTGTACTGAACTTCTTGCGAGTGGCATCGTTACCAATGCTATCCGGGTGCGTAGCGCCCGCTACCGCAGCATGACCTTCTCCAGAACCGCGAGGCGGACTCTAATATCCTTAGACGGTGCGGTATAGATTGACTGGTCGGAGTGTCTTGTATTTTTTTGACCTACGGCGCCCTGACATCTTCTTGCAGAGAATAGAGAATCCTGGACACGAGAGCGCTATTGATAGACCACTGCTACCATCAGCTCAATGACTTTTGCGCCCATAGTCTCACAGCACCCAGCACATGACAGCCGAATTCAGAAGCTCTGAAAATGTCGGACCCACGTCGCTTGCCTGGTCTCTCGCCATTGCCCCTCGCATGGTCGTTACTCAAGATCAGCTGCAAAAAGAAGGGCCTTAATTCTGTGAGTTTTCTTTCTTGTATAAATAGACCAGATCGGGAATCGCACTTCCTATGACTTGCAATCGCGGATAACAAAGTACAAGTTAGCGAGATTTGATTTGGAGTCAACCCAGAAAATTCTCGTCCGCCAAACATATACACCAAAATGTGGTTCTCCCATATTTTCCTTCGATGTATCGACTGTGGTCTTTGTTTTCACACTTTCATCTGTTGAGCTGTTGTTGGTCTGAACGGCTAATTTTGTATTTCTATTGCCTTTCTTGATGTTTCCTTTGCACATGTCTGCGATCTCGTTCTTGATACTGTTACTGATAACCTGTGGTATTTTCATTTCTTTTCGGTTCCATACGGAAACTACCACTAATGGTTCACTTTTGTTATATTCAGTTACCAACCAATAAATAATGGCTGCATTCTGGAAGCTTCGTTGGTGTCAGTGTAAATTGCACCGTAGTACTGCTCTCAAATGCATTAATACAGCCACGATCAATGCAAACGACAGGGCGTGTGACGCGGCGCGTAGTAGAGCGCAGCCGGAGCCCCCTTTTTCCATCAAGAGCTCGCTGGAACTGGTGGAAAATCTGATCTGTCTGCGCTCCAAGCCTGTCGTTTGCAGAGATCGTGACTTTACTTTATGTCGCAGTTTTTGGAGATCTCACATTTCTATGTTCTAGCTCCTTGAAGGGTCTCAGTACCTCTAGCGGAACTCATAATGGACGAAAAACCCGAATCAGTAAGCGTGCAAACTGTTGTAGTGTTCCATGATGGTTGATGGAAGGTTGTAACTAAATTAATGTTCAGTCTTCTACTGCTCGTTCCGATGATTCGCTTGTGCCGACGGAAGTGGTACACCAGGCAAAGAAGGGGGTATGTGGTTCTCGATGAGGGCGTTGATGTAGCACGGTAATGTGGCTGTTGTACGTTACCAGAGATAGATGACTTGTCCGTGTCCATGTAAAATTCGTTTGTTTTGAGAGGTCACTGGTAGCAAAATAGGAATGCTTCAGTGTCATTAACGTATTAAAGGCAGTTGGCACGATAAATCCCTCAAGACGAGTAGGATTAATACGCCTGGCAGGACGGAATTCCGCGACCCTGAGCAGGCGCTGCATAATGCCTTTTCCAAGGGAGGTGCCCTTATAAGGGCCCTATCAAGCCACAACATTCCGACCCAAACGCCCGCCCGCCCACAAATGGACGACCGTTCCTGACGCTCTAATCGATTCATTTGCTGA